AGTCAAGTGAGGCTCCTGAAACCTCCCAGCCAGCCCCATAGAGATACCTACACTGCCATGTGTGTGCTCTCACACAAATGACAGACAGTGCCATGTATGCATACCTCATAGGACAGGCAGAACTGGACTGTGACAGTAGTGCCCCTTCTGAGAATCCACAGGAGCACAGAGCCACTGTGAAGGTGCACATATTGTAAGTGGCAAAACCCTGAGATGCCATCTCTGACAGTTATTCTGAGGTCCTATGTTGCCCAGGCTATTTGCTTGTGAACTCTAGAGTTCCCTGTATACTGCAAATTCCATCAAGACCCATTATTGTTTTTTTTCTGAGCAGGACTTTGGTTCAGAAAAAGATTTATGTTCATTTAATACAGTCTCAATAACTCAATTACTAATGGAAAGCTGCATATGTCCCACTACTCATGGGGAGAACTAAGGTATATTACAACCCCTGACCAAGTAGCTACGTGACTGGTTACAGAGGTGATGGACTCCTCAGAAGCATATCTTGGGCATCTATTTCAAGTAGTCTCTTACTTAAAAAGCCTAGATGATAGGAGGATGAGCTTAGTGTCACATGTCACTCAAGAGATTTAAGAATTGTGTACTGTCTGGGATCTGTCTTTTGGATGAACAGATGGAAGGAAAACCTAAATGAATATTTAAAGTCCCCTTTAATTCTAGCTTGTGATTTTCAAAATGCATCCTAGAAGGCTCGTGATTGATGTGAGTTCGTGGGGTATCAGAGCCCTCCACTCTTAGCAGCTCCCCCATGTCTGCTCTTCTGTTGACATGCCTTTTAGCTTTGGTCTTGTTTTGAGGAGGCCGTTGAAAATGACCCCCTTTGCCTTAACTCTTGGATTTCTTCAGAACAAAGTGTTGCATCTAATTAAGGGGATGCAGTGACCAGCTTGCTATACCCATGGCAGCTGCTTCTGCTGAGATGTGCCTTATAACCTTGATTGTCCCCAAATCTGGGGAACAAGATTTTTGTTTCCATTAATATTTAACCTAATATAGCTCTGAGTGATTTGACATTCCTACAGTCGATAAGAAGATGATGACTGGGAAATTAATCTTCCCACATAATCCTACTCAGGCTCCAAGTGAAGAATTTTTTTCTTTCTCTGCTGTTAGAAGTTGATCTGGTGACCCCACATGGAACTGTGCAGAGAAAGATGCTGAGCATAATAAAAGTGTGTGCGCCAAGTATCAATCTAACTTCTTTCGATTGCCTAGTAAGCCTGGGTTTCAATTACTTTTTTAAATCTCTTTGTGCATGTTTTTAAAAATGTCTATGTGTGTACACGTGTTTACATGTTTGTGTGATTGAATGCAGGTACATGCATGTCATAGTATATTGGTGCTCATCTGCTCCCTTATTTGAGACAGAGTATCTTGTTTATTGCTGCATAGGCTAGGCTAGCTGGGCTGTGAGCTTCCAAGGACTCCCCTGTGTCTCCATCTCCCATCTCATGCAAGAGTGTTCAGATTAGAGATGTGTGCTTGGGTGCCCAGCTTTACACGAACTCTGGGGATCTAAACTCAGGTTCTCAGACTAAAGCAGAAATGCTTTTCCGTCTGAGCCATCTTCCAAGACCCTGGACTTGAACTTCAAGGAAAAATCTTAAGAATGTTCATAATGTTCTATAAGTATGGATTTGATACAGAAGAAACAAAATGATTTTTATTCCTTTCCATCTCACTGTGACACTAACTGCTCCAGCCATTTATTTCTAGCACTAACAGTTGCATTCATTGACCTATGTGTCCAAGACATTACTACTCCCAGGCATGTTCCCTGGAAAGTTTTACCTAATATTTCTTACAACATTATCAAGCAAGTTTTAAATAGTCCTCTGTATATGCAGATGAATGGGGAAATACAAGAATAAACCACAACATTAGACAGATGAACAAGTCCATGAATGTTTCACATCTCTTTTATCTTTCAGTTTTCACGTTTAGTCTCAGGCCTGTACTGCCCCCTTCTAATTCAGCATTTTTGACGATTTTCCCAGGACACAGCTGTTCAGTTTGCCCTTGGCAAAAGCTGACAAGGCCTTCTCAGCACTTGATTCTACACATTTACCCTTCAAAGAAGCACATTTTCCTAAGATATGTGTGGGGACTTGCTGATTCTCATGGTTCATCAATTGGGATGTTTAATTTTCTACTCAGAAACCATTTTCCCCCATCTCCGGGAACTTTCCGCAAAGATGGGATAGTTCACACTGACAGAAGTGAGTATAGTTAAAAAGGCTCTACTGTGCGATCCAAGGTTGGCATTGACAGCTCCTTGATATCCATGATAAGAGTTGTCTTGAATTCCCTTCATAATTTTAAATCCATGTCAGAAATTACAACTAAGCATTGTAGCTGATTTAACTCTGGATATTGAATGTACATCACGTGAATTTCCTTTAGAGGGCACTATTGATTCTTCGAAACCATTGCAACCTTTCTTCACTTCCCCTGGTAAGGTTGGCCAAACTTGAAATCTTACCGGGTTTCAAATCTACTTAACTTCCTCAAGTTAGCATGAATTGCCAGTCCAGTAGTTGGAATACATTGTCCATTAACAGAGCAGGACAGAAGCTAATTCAGGATGTTAATTGTTAAGACAAGTCATCAAAACAGGACACACAATTCTGTATTTGGTGACACCAATGGGTTTATTTACCTTTAAAAATCCTTCAAATGAAAATTTGCTTTTGTAACTTGATATAAAATTTAAATTCAATAATCCAATATTTTTTATTTAGAAGCATAAATAACCACATCCTTAGGCTCTATCATCTCAGTCTAGAAATAGGTAACATGTGTTTGGGAGACACCATATTTGTAGTATTATCATTCAGAAATTCAGATAGTGTATAAAATTGTATCTTTGAATATGTTGTGCCTTATAGAATCTTCTAATTTGTTGAATTTTGATAAATGACAAAGAATATTTTCCTGTTTTTTTTTCCATCTAAGTTAACAGAAACATACTGATAGGTTTGTTCACTGCGGTTTTTAGTCTAACTTCAAATAAAGGGAACTCCCAAATATTCCAGTGTTCAAAAGCACAATATTGTGGAAGCAAATGCTCCCATACTATCATTCATAGAGGTTTGTCTCACTTTTCTATCACAGACTATTGATCCAACATGTGTCCTGTACAGTAACTTCTTACCAAATTGCCAATGATCTATATCAAGAAAAGGTAATAATCTTGCAGATGTTTATAAACAATCAAATGAAAATGCCATTATGTCCAAAGATCTATCAAAACAATACATTTCCATTATCTAATGAGGTCAATATTAATTCCTCAGGTCAGCCCCCGAAACTCTTCCTAGAATGCCCGGTGTCTACCTTCTTAGCCTCAGATTCCTCTACCAGTCACCTAAGCTTCCAGAAAAGGATGCCCTCCAGTATTGTCAGGCACTTATCCCCAGAAACATAAGCATAGACATGCATCTTTTCAGCATTTTGAATACTGCTAACTCAAGGAAGTTCTCTCTGAACCTCCCAGGCAATGCTCACTGCCTTGGAACTGGAGGTACTTGTTGGAAGATGTCAAGTACACCGAACTTGTGTATCCAGAGACAGAAAAGCTTCTGCCTAGCTTCACAACTCCAGGAACATGGATGCAGTTTGGCTCCAAGCCTCACCAACATCTGCACTCACCTGGAAGTATCTAGGGAAAGTCTCCTTCCTAGTCCAAGCCATTGAAACTGTAATCATCCTTCCAAGATTTCTCAGTGGCTTCAACACCGATCAACACCTGCATCATTGGCAGATCTTCCCCTACCCTAACTTATGGGACATTCCTACCCATGTCCCACTGGTTCGAGACCACATATACTAAAACCAAAAGCTTCAGAACTCTTTGTGATCAGCCCACAGACCTAGTGAAGGTCTTCACCATATTTTATATCACAAGAAGTATAGATGCTATTTCTATTATCCAAAATGCTATCTACCTGTCCATGCTATGAATAACCTAGGGAACATCTCAGAGACCTGTGAATTTCAGACCACAGCTGTTGGTGCCCAATACCCTAGAACCTCTTTTATTTGTTCCCTGAAGCCAGGAGAAGGAATGATCTGGATTTCCTAGTTCAAGGGAAAAAAAAATGACAGCTAGACAACTCCTGGAACCAATCTCAATCCTCCCACGGAACTTAAAGAAGGTATCCTTTGTGTCTAAACACCTTAAATCCAATATTGCTAGTGCCATAGACTGCAGAACCAAATGTGCCTATCTGGCAGGATCTGAGAAAAGCCCTTATTCTATCTGTGATGCAAGGACTTTCTGATGATGGCAAATACTCAGACATGATGCCCGCATTCATCCTGAGCATCCTGGACAAGATCTTCTTCATATCCTGTGCTGCCAGAACTGTGTCTGCTGGTACCCAAACCCTGGGCACCAACTGTGCTTGCCCTAAGGGCTCTGAGGACAGTCCTTTACATACCCCACACCATAAAGATGTAGCAGATACCTCCAAAAGGACAAGTGGCATCGGGGATCAAACCCATGAAGCTTAAAGGCATACCTCAGGAGCACAGCAACTCTTCAAAAATAGACATAACATTGAAGGCAGCCTATGAAATGCCTGAAAAATGATTTAAAATTAGTGATTCTAAGGAATTTCAGTGAGATGCAAGAGAACATAGAACAATTATAATAGGAAATTAAAAGAATGGAAAAACCCGCCAAATAAATAGAAACTAAGAGAAAAAAAATCCAATATGATGTCTTGGAACTAAAATACTTCAATCAATTAAATGAAACACATAATAGGGAATTTGGAAAGATGGTTTACCATTTAAGAGTACTTGTTCGGGGCTGGAGAGATGGCTCAGAGGTTAAGAGCACTGACTGCTCTTCCAAAGGTCCTGAGTTCAATTCCCAGCAACCACATGGTGGCTCACAACCATCTGTGATGAAATCTGGTGCCCTCTTCTGGCCTGCTGTCATACATGCTGTATACATAATAAATAAATAAATCTTTTAAAAAAAAAAAAAAAAAAAAAAAAAAGAGTACTTGTTCTTCCAGAAGGTCCAAGTTCAATTCCCAGCATCCACAAGGTGGCTTATAACCATCTATAAACTCCAGGTCCAAAGGAATCTGATGCCCTCTTCTGGTCTCTGTAGGCACTGCATACACACAGCACACATGCACATGCAGGCAAAACTCGAATACACACAAATTAATAAAAGAATAATAAAACCTTTAAGATGAACAATATAATAGAGAACTTCCATAAAAAACTAGAAAAAGCAGAAGAAATAATTTCTGAACCTTAGTTGTTATGGAAGTTCCCTATTATATTTTTTCTTCTTAAAGAAATACAACTAGTTGAATAGATGTATTAAGGCAAAAATGACTAGGAAAAATAGTAAAGCAAAATTTTATAAGAAACATGAATAAAGGTTATAAAAACTTTGGAATATAATTCAGCAAATATTCATTTATACTATGAAATTTCAATAGGTAATGAAAATCTGAAGTGTTTCATAAACTTCTGAAATCCTCAGAGACACAGGTAAATAGAGTTAAGCATCTCAAAAGCCTCCAATTAGACCCAAACAAACCTTCAGCAAAGCACATTATAGTCAAAATGTCAAAAGTTTTAGCAGAAGCCTCTAAAAACAGCAAGGGGTGTCAAGTCGCACTTAAGAGAAGGCTCATTAGCCATACAGCAGATCTTGCTAGGAAAAAAAAAAAAGCTTACTTTATGGAGGCTAGAGAGATTCCTCATTGGTTAAGGGTACTTGCTACATACATCACAAGGACCATAATTTTGATTCCAGCACCATGTAACAAGTTAGATGTCCCTAAAATGCTTGTAATTTCAGCTCCAAGAATCCGATACCCCACTTTATCTTCCATATATGTTCACACAAACACACGGTGTTTTCCCACAAATTAAAAAAAAAAGCATACTATGTCCAGCAAAATTATCCTTAAAAACTGAAAGTGAAATTGTCTTTCTCAGATTAAGATAAACTAAGGGAATTACCAACAATTCAGCTTTATAATAGATACTCGAGGCAGGCATGCAAAACTAATGGAATGAATTTTATTCAAAGAACTTAAAGCAGAAGGAAAAAAAAACAAATTCTGAAAGTTGTCCTTTGGAATCCACATGTATACTGTGATGCATGCATGCCCCTATATACATATTATATACACACACAATAATAACAAAATATTTTGTAAAAAAAATACTTAAAAGAATCTTACATTAGAAACAAAAAGATAACTGTTATCACAGAACATAAATTACCCAGAACTCAGTAGAAGAACAAACTTTAGCACAATGAAAACCATTAAATAACAGATATAGTAAAAGAGGTGAAAAGAAAGAAAAATACACAAAACAAGCAGAACACAATGAACAAAAACAAATTATTGATATTATTTATCAATAATAGTATTGAATGGAAATTATAGATTAAATGTACCAAATAAAAGACATAGACTGCACCCCCGGCACACACACACCAAAACACAAGACCCAACTGTTTGCTGCAAACAAGAAACACACCTCACTGGTAAAGTTTATTTGAAGTATGTGTGAAAAGTTGGGGGGAAAAAAAGCGTATCATGAAAATAGAAATTCAAAGTGAGCAGGAGTAGTTATACTCAGATAAAGTAGACTTTAAATCAAAACTATTGAAAGGCAGAAAGTAATTACATATTGATAAAAAGATAAACTAGCAAGAAGATATAACAGTTGTAAATATGTGTGTATTCAACAAGGGACCACTCACGTATTTAAAGCAAACATTATTAGGCCTAAAAATATATTAGATATGTAAGCTATAATATATATCTGACACAATAGTAGTGAGATAATAAAGACCCTAACTTTCCTTAATGGACCAATCATTGAGGCAGAAAAATCAAATACACATCTGAGGTGAACCATATTATACTGCAAATGGAACTAATACACATCTGTAGAACATTCCATCCAAAGTAGCAGAGAATACATTCATTTCTTCAGGACATGGAACATGATTCCAGGATAGGTTATATCTTTGGCCACAGACCAAGTCTCAATATATTTTAAAGAACTGAAATTATATCAAATATTTTATCAGATCATAACTTAGTAAAACTACAAATAAAAAGAAAATACACGGAAAGCACAAAACTCATGGAAATTGAACACCATGCTTCTAAATGAACAGGCTATCATTAAAAAGTATAAAAGGAATTTTTTTTCTAGAAACAAATGGCTACATACCACACACACAAAAAAAATGTATGGTGTACAGATAAAGGTAGTACAAGCAAGGAAGTTTACACTAATAGATATATACATAAAAATAGATCTCAAATAGACACCCTAATCATGCACTTCAAAAAATTTAAAAAGCGAGAACCAACCAAATACAATGTAGAAGAAAATGTAATAAAAATCAAAGTATAAATAAATTAAATTAAAATAAAAAGGAAAGCAACACAAAATAACAAAGTAACAAAGAATTAGTACTTTGAAAGAAAAAAATTAACAAACCTTTAGCTAGACTAAGAAAAACTATCCAAATAAATAAAATAAAAGATGAAAAGGGGCACATTGCAGCTGATAACACAGAAATACAAAATCTTAAAGACACTAACCTGAATAAATAATAGGCTAAAAATATGTCTTGGAAGTGGATAGTTTTCTGGAAACATATAACCTAATAGAAAAGAAGAAGAGAATTTAAATGTAAAAAATCCAATAATGAGTAATAAAATTGAAGCAATAATTTAAAATTTTTCATCTTATAGAAGTTCAGGATCTGATGGCTTTACTGCTACATTTTATGAAACATTTTAATAAAAATTAGCTCCAATTATTTTTACAATACTGAAAAAAAATGAAAATGAAAGTCCCTCAAACTCTTTTAAAGAAGTCAGCTGTAGCCTAAAGCCAAAACCAGATAAAGCTACAGTCGAAAAGAAAACTAATGACCCTATTCTCCAGGAATATAAGTGCAACAATTCTAAATAATGCTCTAAAATTCTTTTTTTTTTTTTGCCACTGGTATAATGCTGGCTGTAGATTTGTCATATACGGGCATTACTATGTTGAAGTATGTTGCTTTTCTTCCAGGTTTCTATAGGGCTTTTATCGTGAAAAGATACTGTATTCTTCCAAGAGCCTTTCTGCATCAAATGAGATGTTTGTGATTCCTGGACATATGTCTACTTATTGCTGAATTATACTTATTCATTTGTGTATATTGAACCAACCTTTCATCACTAGAATGAAACGAATTTGGTCATGGTTTATGATATTTCTAAGGTGTTCTTAAATTTGGTTTGCAAGAATTTTATTAGCAATTCTTGCATATATGTTCATCAGGGAAGTTGGTCTCCATTTTTTGTTTGTTTTTGTTTTTTTGTTTTTTGTTTGTTTGTTTTTTCTTATGTCCTTATCCTGGTTTGAAACCAGGATAAAGCTGACTTCATAAAATGAAATTAGTAATGATCCCTCCCTTTGGAACACTGATGTTAGTTGTTCTTTAAATGTTAGGTAGAATTTGGGAGTGAATCCATATGGTCCTGGGTTTTCTTTGTTGTAATACTTCTTAGTACTGCTTCAGTATTACTGATCTAGATTTTTGCAGTTGTTCGTCTCCCTCATTTAATTTTGGTAGACAATGTGTTAGTTACATTTCTATTGCTGTTTTAAAGACCATAGTCAAAAGCAGCTTGGAGAGGAAAGAGTCTATTTGGCTCACACTTCCAAATCACAGTTCATCATTGAATGAAGTCAATGGCAGGAACTCAAGGCAGGAAGTGGGAGGCAGAAACTGAAGTAGAAGCCACAGAGGATTGCTGCTTAGTGGCTTGATCCTCATGGCTTTGCCAGATATTCTTATACAACTCAGAACCACCTACCCAGGGATGGCAGCACTCCCAGTGGGATGGGCCCTCCTGCATCAATCGTTAATCAAGAAAATGCCCTAGAACTTGACTACATGCAATCTGGTGGAGACATTTTCTCAGATGATGATCCTCTTCCTAGATAACTCTAACGTATCAAAGTTGACATACAACTGGTCAAGACACAGCCTTTTATCAATTTCTTCTATATTTTCTAGTCGTGTTGTAGCTAGAGTTTTCCTGCCTGGCCTACGGTCAGAGCAAATCTCTGTCACCCGCCAGTCCCACAGCCGCTCAGACCCAACCAAGTAAACACAGAGACTTATATTGCTTACAAACTGTATGGCCATGGCAGGCTTCTTGCTAACTGTTCTTACAGCTTAAATTAATCCATTTCTATAAATCTATACCTTGCCACGTGGCTCATGGCTTACCGGCATCTTCACATGCTGTTTCTCATTGTGGCAGCTGGCAGTATCTCTCTCTCTCAGCCTTCCACTTCCCAGCTTTATTCTCCTCTTTGTCCCGCCTATCCTTCCTGCCTAGCCACTGGCCAATCAGTGATTTATTTACTGACGAATCAGCAACACACTTGACATACAGACCATCCCACAGCATCGTGTGGAATGTGATTTTTCAAAGTAGCCCCTAATGATTCTCTGGATTTCACTGGAATCTATAGTAACATTCCTGTTTTCATTTCCAATTTTATTAATCGTGGTCCTTGTTCTCTTTTGGCTTGAGTATTATCAGTCCTTTATCTCTTCAAAGAAACTGATCTTTGGTAGAGTCCAGTTCTTTTAGTCTCTGTTTCATTTATTTCTGCTTCAATTATCATTTCTTGCTGTCTACTGCTTTGGGGTTTGGAATAGTCTTTTTTTTTGTAAAGGTTTATTTATTTATTATGTATACAGTGTTCTGCCTGCATGTGTCCCTGCACACCAGAAGAAGGTATCAGATCTCATTATAGATGGTAGTGGACCACCATGTGGTTGCTGGGAATTGAACTCAGGACCTCTGGAAGAGCTACTTGTGCTCTTAACCATTAAACCATCTCTCTAGCCTGATGGTCTTGTTTCTTATAAGAACTTGAGGTACTCTTTTATGTTATTTACCTAAGATCTTTCTAATCTTTTTTAAATACAAATGCTTTACAAATTTTCATGTCATTCTTGCACAGGCACCACACTAATCTCTGTATATCACTCCAATTTTTTTATAACCCATTTAAAAATGAGAGTGGGGTATTGAAATCAGTTATTGCTCTTATATCATGACGTATCAGATAATTGTGTCCATTAGTGACTGCTTTATGAAATTTGAAGCCTGAACATTTGCACATATATATTTACAATTGTTTTTTAATTAACTGAATTGTCATGCTTAGTACAGAATGGTTTTCTTTATCTCATCTGACTAATTTTGGTTTGAGTTTTATTTATCAGATATCAGATTATCTGTGCCAGCTTGGTTTTGGTTTCTGTTCACTTGATAAATGATCTTACACCCCTTTACTCTCAGTATGCAAGGTTCCTTACCAGTGAGGTATGTTTCTTAGAAAAAACAGCCAATTAGATCTAGCTTTTTAATCCAGTCAGCCAATCTGTAATTCTTTATTGGTGAATGGAGGCCACTTGCATTTAATGTTACTATTGAGAGATATTTACTCATTCCTGTAACTTTCTCATTTTTTTTCCTTATTGGACTAATGCTTATTCTTTCATTTCTCCCCTGTTCATATAAATCTTACCCCAATTCATATCAGGTGTTTGATGATTTACTGCATTGGGCATGAAGGATTCCTTCTTGCTTTCTTCATTCAACTACTCCATACAATTTTTCTTTCCTATGGTTTCATGATTGAGACCTTTACTCCATTCTCTGTGTATATTGTTTCTCTAAGTGCCTTCTGCAATGCTAGCTCAGTGGCCATGAGCTGTCTTAGTCTGTGCTTGTCTTGACATTTCCTTATTTCATCAGCAATCTTAGATGATTTTCCAGTCTTGGTTGGCAGTTATTTGCTTTCAGAACTTGAAATTCCTGGTTTTCTTTGTTCTTTACTGATAAGGGATCTGGTGGTCTTCTGATATTTCTGCCTTTGTAGATATATTGGCTTTTTCCCTTTCAGACTTTAATATTGTTACTTTGGTTTGTGCTTTTGAAATCTAAATAAAACTTCTCTGATCATGTGTGCTTGGAGCTTTAAATGACTCATTTTTAGATATCTATTTCTTTTGCTAGATTGGATAATTTTCTCCTATAATTTCATTAAATAAATTCCTTATATGTGTAATCTCAGCTCCTCTTCCACCCTGTGGATTCTTTAGGTTTGGTCTCTTGATTATTTACTAGAGTTCTTGGATACGGTTGTCATATACACTTCTTTTTCCTCACTGTTGTCTTTTTTTCCCCTTCAAGACAGAGTTTCTCTGTGTAACAGTGCTGGCTGTCCTGGGACTCACTCTGTAGACCAGGCTGGCCTTGAATTTACAGAGATCTGCTTGCCTCTGCCTCTGTCTCCCAAATGCTGGGATTAAAGGTGTGCACCACCACCACCCGGCCCTCACTGCTGTCTTAATGTAGTGTTTTGTCAACCTTGTTCATCTCTAATATTCTGATATTCTTTCTTCTGTGTGGTCATTTGGTTGATTTTAATGCTCTTCACTGGATTGTGTTGTTTAGTCATTTAATTGTTAAATGTTGACTAATTTCTAGAATTTATACTTATTGAGTAGAATTTTTTTCTAAAAAAAAATCTCAATTTCCTTGTATTTATATTCTTGATATTATCATCTATTTTACTGATTTTGTTCTCTATGTTGCTGATTTTCCCTGCTGGATTCTAGATTGAATCCATCTGGTCATTTGTGTCTTCTTTTAAGTAATTGATCATTTTTATCAGAAAAGCTTTAGAGTCCATCTGGCATCTTACATATTATCTTTGAGTTCAGTAGTTTAAAAACTGATTTTTTGGAAAATTGTTGCCTTGAGTTTTCATGTCTTCTGCATTTCTATGTTGTGATTTGCACATCTATGTGTGGTATTGTATTCCCCCAAATATTGTGCATGCTAGTAAACTTATCTGGGGTCAGAGATGGAGCAGCCACAATATTAAACATGAGGATAGGCAGTGGTAGCACACGCCTTTAATCCTAGCATTCCAGAGGCAGAAATCCATGTGTTCGAGGATACAGCCATGGTGACTCACGCCTTTAATCCCAGAAAGCAAGCCTTTAATCTCAGGGAGTGATGGTAGAAAGCGGAAAGGCGTGAGGACCAGAAACTAGAAGCATTTGGCCTGGTTAAGCATTTGGCTGGTTAAGCTTTCAGGCTTTCAAGCAGCAGTTCAGCTGAGACCCATTTGGATGAGGACTCAGAAACTTCCAGTTTGAGGAAACAAGACCAGCTGAGAAGTTGGCCAGGTGAGGTTAGCTGTGGCTTGTTCTGTCTCTCTGATCTTCCAGCTTCACCCCAATACCTGGCCTCGGGTTTGATTTTATTAATAAGACTCTTTAAGATTCCTGCTACATCTATGTTTGGATGCTGTCTAGTTTTATGTCAAGTTGACACAAGCTAGAGTCGTTGAAGAACAGAGAGCCTCAATTGAGAAAATGCCTCCATAAGATCATGTTACAGGCAAGACTGTAGGACCTTTTCTTAGTTAGTGATTGATGTGGGATGGCTCAGCCCAGTGTCAGTGGGAGCCACCCTGGTTAGTGGTGCTGGAGTCTATAAGAAAGTAGGCTGAGCAAGCCGTAGGTACAAGCCAATAAACAACACTTCTCTATGGCCTCTTCATCAGCTCCTGCCTCCAGGCTCCTGTCTGCCCTGGTAGAGTTCCTGACCTGACTTCCTTCAATGATGAACAATGATGTGGAAGCCAAATAAACCCCTTCCCAACTTGCTTTTGGTCATGGTGTTTCATCGCAGCAATAGTAATCCCAACTAAGACAGTCTCCTCTCAGTTTTTCGAGGGGGAGGTGTTTCTAGCAGTGTAGTAGTTCTTGAGCAGTCTACTCTTGACGGCTTGATCTACAGCTCCAGAAAGCAAGAAACGAACTCCTGTAAGAGCGACAACATCAAACCACACAAGATCCAGGAATACACAAGATCAATTACGGCCACGTATTGTCAATGATTATAAAAGTGAAACGGCAGAACTACTGAAGAACGTGCTATAAAGTCAGAAATAACTTCAGGCAAGTATTAAAAGAATAACTGAGGGAGCTAAAGGAAAGAGACAAGGGAAGGGGAGAAATAAAAGAGACACAAGGTTAAAGAAATGGAGAAAGAAGGGAAGTGGAAAATAACATCATGGAGGAGAAAGCAAGAGATTAGAAAACAATGAAAAGGAACAGGGGGAAAAAAGCAAAATTATTTCCCAATAATGAGAAAATTAAAATAAAAAAATTAAAATTAAAAAATTAGATAAATTTAAGAAGGGTGCTTTAAAATATTGAAAAAAGAATGCTTTTTTTTTTTAAAGCTAGGTGAAGTCAAATGCTACTAAGTGTAGAGAGAGGAGGAAAGAAGGAAACACAAGGGCTGGGGGTGGGGAGAAAGAAAAAAAACCAAAAAGAAAGTAAGGAAACAATATTGCCCCAAATCAAAAGAAAATGCATAAACAGGATTAGATAAATATTTAGAGGAAAGTAATAAATACAAACACACAAAAATTAATGCAATGATATTAAAAACATGCTAAATACATAGGAGGAAGGTAAACACATGGGAAGAAAAAGAAAAGAAAAGGCTGAGGTGTTAGAGCCGTTCTTCCTGGGTCCTGCAGAATTGGAGACTGCTAATTACATGGATGCATAGGGAGGTAGTTATATCAACAGATGGAGAGGCTAGATGATCTTGTGGATCGAACTCTCTTATGGTTTTGCCATGGTTGAATCTGTATTGGACAAGAATCTGATGTCCACCAGTGCTGTCTTCCTCAGGGGCCTCTATTGGACGTACCCCACATTCTGTGGACTGCTCAGACCCCATCATCTTCCAGAGACTTCCCAAATCACATCCTGGGCCCTTTCTAGCTGGAAGAAAGGGCTGTCTCCTAAGTGAGGTAGGAAGTTAGAAAGCAATAATAACACTGAGATCAATATACTCAGAGGATGGCCTTTGCCATTGAATCACCCTGCTGGAGGGATGCTGCATTGGGTATCAGGTATACCCTTGGAATTTCAGAGTTCTCAGGCACTATAACACTGAAAGACGGATGCAGAATTTTAACTATCCACTGGCCTTAGGCTCAGAGTTATCAAACTACAGGCTATTCTCAGGGGATGATATCTGTCCCTCGCGACCAGTTGTGGAAGGCAGGGCTGTCTTTGTCTGCATTTCCCAGCCTGAGCCCAGCCTCTAGCTCTGAACCCCTAGACCTCGCCTGTTTTGATTTTGTTTTTTTTTTTTTTTTTCCATTCCTCATGCTCACTACAACTGCCTTTCAAGGCCTCCCATTGCTCAGGGGCTATGGCAAGCCACCTAAGCTCCCTGACCTGTGGTTGTTCCATATTCCCAGGCCCCAAGTTAACTCTTCTGTCAACAATAGAGCCTCTCATAAGATAGTGCTGGCTGCTGCCCTCCATCACAGAGCATGATCTGGGCTTTCCCCCGCCACTGGGCCATATAATGGAGGAGTCATTGTTTTACCCAAACCTATAACTAGATGAGGCTTGAGAGGACTATGCATTTGTCCTGAAGGTAAGCTTTCCTTCAAAAAATAACTTGAATAATTCATTTTTTGACGGTTTCCTCCTCCTCCTCCTCTTCTTCTTCTTTGGTGATTTATGACTGTAATATAAACATGGACAGGCTTGGGAGGCTGAGGCAGTATGGAAAGTCAATATCTTTAATAACTGGTCTTCAGTTTCACGTCATGCTCAGTTGGCTAATCATCAGTGGAATGTAAACCAGACTATAATGAGATGTCATCTTACTTTCATTTAGAATGGCTATCTTCCCAAAGACAAAAATAACAACAATCGGTGAAGACACAGAGGAACGGGGACACTTATGCAACTTCTGGTGGAAATATAAATTAGTGCAATCATTATGGAGATCAGTATAGAGGTCCCTCCCCACCCCCAAACTAAAAGCCGATCTATCGTTCAAGCCAGCATTCCTTTACGTCCAAAGGAGATGAGATAATTTTACCAAAAGGGTTCATGTACTCCCGTTTTCACTGCAGGGCTAGCCACAGGCCAGAAGTCCTTCAGAAGAGGAAACTGCAAAGAAAACATGGCCTATTTTATTCAGCCATAAAAATTAACCAAGTCCTGTCACATGCGAGACGTGGATAGAACTGGATGTCATTATGTTAAGTGAAGTAAGCCAGACTCAAAGGACAAATGCCACATGTTCTTAATCACTAGTGAAGTGTAAGATGACAACTTTTCAGAAGAACGGAATGAATTCCACTAGAGGGTGGGGCAGATGGGCAAAGGAGAAAGACGTAAGTTCAATTAAGGGTACCAAACACAGAGTGGAGGATTGTTTCTGATACGTTGTTAGTACAATAGGGTACACACAGGTCAACACAACCTATGAAATGTCCAGAAGAACAAAAATCTCCCAATACATAAAAGTGACTAATGGGCAGATTTCTCAGCAGTTAAGTGTTTTCTAGGCAAGCTAGAGGATGAGAATTTGGATTTCCTGAACCCATGTAAACTACAGGCATCCTAGCCTTTGGCCCAGGAAGCTTAGATAAAGCCTGCCTGTAATTTTAACTTTGGAGACAGGGGATTCCCTAGAGAAAGTTTGCTGGTGAGACTAGCCATATCTGAGAGCTCTGGGTTTGATTAAGAGACCCAGACTCAATGAAGAAGGTGGAAGAGAACTGCAGAAAGATTCCCAATATCAATCTTAGGCCTCCACACACAAGCATGTACATTTACAGGTCCAACTGTGCATCCACACACATAAGAACACACACTCTTTTTCACACATACATACTACACACACACACACACACACACACACACACACACACACACACACACACACAGACACATCACAAACACACACCATATATGAAAAAAACAAAGTGAAAGGAGCTAGGATTATTGGTGCATTGTGTATCCCATAACTCAAAAGACTATGACATGGTAGAATGACAAAGAGTTTGAGGCCAGCTTGGATTACACAATAAGGGTATGAGAGAGAGAGAGAGAGAGAGAGAGAGAGAGAGAGAGAGAGAGAGAGAGAGAGAGAGAGGTTTAGTACCTAGCTGAACATGGAAAGCAAGCACTCTGGAACATGTATGCTCTTTATCATGTTTTATTTTAAATTGCTATGCTCACCTTATTTAATATGTCTAGTAGTTTCTCACTTGAATGAAGTTGTGTATGAAAAATCACTTTGTTTAGGTCACCATCCTGACCCTAGTTTAAGATGGATTTTAGGTGCTCGATAATTTGGTAATTTGGTGAACGGGTGAGTTGATTGCTGATGATGCAAAGGTCAAGGCATGCAGAGCATCCAGCTGGAATGGCAGGCATGCAGGGCACCCAGCTGGAATGGCAGGCATGCAGGGCACCTAGCTGGAATGGCAGGCATGCAGGGCACCCAGCTGGAATGGCAGGCATGCAGGGCACCTAGCTGGAATGGCAGGCATGCAGGGCACCCAGCTGGAATGGCAGGCATGCAGGGCACCTAGCTGGAATGGCAGGCATGCAGGGCACCCAGCTGGAATGGCAGGCATGCAGGGCACCCAGCTGGAACGGCAGGCATGCAGGGCATCCAGCTGGAACGGCAGGCATGCAGGGCACCCAGCTGGAACGGCAGGCATGCAGAGCATATTCCTGATATAGCTCTTTCCCCAACAGATTTGGAAACAAAGAAGAAACCTGAGAGTGTCCTGAGAGGATCGTGGTTCCTACTTGGAGGTGTGAAGATGGCCTCCGAGAAGAGATGCTGGCACTCGCTGAAAACTGGTGCTGGAATTTGAGACAAAATCCAGGCCATTTATGCAGAGTGTGACCTTTCTGGAACGTTGAATGCAGGAGATCCAGGACATCGTGAAGGGACAGTACAGAGAAGTCTTCTCAGCTTCATCCCTGGGGGTCCAAGAGTGAGAACCAGCCCCTCAGGGAAGGAGAAAGCAGGTTGCTGTGTCCTCTTTGTGACCAGCCTTTCTGCTGTATCTGTCACAACTGAGTTTCTCCTTTCCTCCATTTCATCATTTTTTAAAAAACTGATCCAATATTTTTTATACATTTTTATTTCCTACATATTGTTTGAATTTGTTGGACCTTCTTTGTACCCACAACCATGTGTGTAATTCAGACCTCTCTTTATCTTTATTTGGATTCTTTAGTTGCTTCCTCTGGTCCTCTACCTTCTGGACACTGTTTACTCCTTCTTCACTGTCCTACCAGAATATTCTTCCTAAACTATTAACCTGGTCATGCCACTAAATGGCTCAGAATTTTTCAGTGGCTTCCCAGGATATCATACTGTCAAAACTCTTAATTGACCACCTCTTACCTTCTTAAACATGGCATCTTGAGACTCTCCTGACTCTCAACCACCCCTCTCCTGACCAGACCAGTTCACATGTGCTCCCCCAATCACACCCTGCTGGTCCACATGCCTTTGATACTTTCCTATTGACAAACTCCTTTAAAAAAACTTTTCTTTTTGTTTCTTTGTTGCTGATCTTTGTACCATCCATGAAGGTCTGATCTGAAAGCTACTAATGTTTGTGTTCTCAGCACCCATCAAGTGTGTAGTAGGTACATGGACAATGCACCCTAACCAAATGACAGACGAGAAGAATAGCATTCCAAAGAGAAGGATGTGGTGATTGGAGAAGTCAGATGGACGGGCAAACAGCACTTAACTTCATTCGCAGAGAAACATCCCTTGGGAAGGGGAGGTGCACTGTCAGTGATTGTGATTATGAGAGCTGGCATAGCTTGATAGAGTAATGAGTTTGGGGGAGATTTTATTTTTTTTTAAATTGCAACTTCATTTGTTCTGTTTGTTTGTTTGTTTGTTTTAATTTGGATGGAGAAGAACGAGTATACTTAAGCAACCTGAAGAAGAACCATTGCCAATTCAAGAAAAAGAATAAGTGGACAGAATCAGCCCCACAGGAAGAGATGAGCTCAAAGGCGCAGTGGGAGTGGACACTGCATGATGGGCTAACACCTGGTGCCTTTTGTGGTAATGACTGTCTTTACTTCCAAGGCCTGACACCACTTTCCAAGTCCAACTTTACAAGCTGAGTGTCTTCAGGAAGCATGATTCCCACTGTATTTTAAGTGAGTAGCACAGAACACAGTTCCAGAATAGAAATCCACAGGAATTGTGCCATCATGTTAGACTGCAGTGATGTTCCCATAATAGCATGGAGCATGTAGAAGCTCAGAGAATGTGGGATGGGTAAAGGGGTGTCTGAGGAGTGTGGGCAAAGCAAGTTTGATTTGTGATCAATGAAGGAAGTATTGAGCAGGACAGGGGTTCTGAAATGATCGATTCTATGTGTCATGGTTTGGTTTGAAACACATTGCAAACAGCTCTAAGCAATGTATCAGCTTCTCATGTCAACTGTTGACGTCAGGATATTGCTACTGTCACCAGTTAAACCCCCTTAGGCTGTAGGTGTGAACCTGAGGCCAGGTGGAACACTCTGTAGTAACAACAAGCAGGGTCTCCAAAACACATAGCTGCCCAATTTCCACGAGAGCTTGGCTCTCTCGTCCCAGAATTTTCTGGAAGCCACATTCTAAGGAAATGGGTCATGCATGGGTGACATTTACAGGGGTCACTAAGTTGGAACCCAGCTTGCCGCCCTGCTTACTCCCAGCTTGTCCGTTCTGTGGAGCCACTGACTGATGCCAGAGACTTTTTCCCTCAGACCTCTTTTCTTGGAAACACCCCCTCTTTTTCTGTGTGTCTTCTCCCCTCGGCCTTCTTCCTCCCGTTCACTAGGACATGGGCTAGAAATCATGTACAGGAATTCCTTGAGTTCCTTTCCTCTCGTCTCTCCTCCAAAGCACTTACACGGTCACCTCACAGAGATGGGAATGAGTGGTGGGATCCAGTGAAACACCTTGTGATCAAGTCTTCTATGAAAAGACAAGTTTGGGACATCAGGGACAGAAGACCGATGTCTAACTCTTGACCTTCAAATGGTGTTCTGAGGTGAGTAAGTCTAGAGAAGCCTTAATCAATACAGGGAAGAGAAAACAGAAAATGCAGCGTATTGCTGGATAGAGTTGTGGTTCCAAATGAGTTTGACAGACTGGGATGTGGGGTAAGATGACATGATATGGCTTAGTAATAGAAAGGCCAGATGCCCAATCACAGACTGTTGTACACCCTGTGCTGTGACCTAAGAATTAATAGAAGAAACTCAGATAGGCACAGACAGTCTTAAGCAGCAGCTCCTATGTGAGGTTTCTAGGGGAATTTCACTCGATTTCAGGCTCAACCTCCGCTGTATAGAGACTGAGGGAGCGAATGGTCACCTGGGATTTGGGCCAACCTGAGCACAGCTTTAGGGCATGTTCTGCACTGCATGCCTCAGTTTACAAGGATACAAACTCCTCCAGAACCTCTGGGAAGTGTGGCAAGACTACAGGAGGAGTGGAGAGATTGAAGAAGCTGAGGGTCACAGTGAGGAAAAGAAAGCGTTTGGAAGAACTGGGCATTTTCTTTAAGCAGTGGAAGCAATGTCTGTTTGCTCAAATCCATTATACAGCATGACAGTATTTACCCACGACTTATACACACTCTGCTGTGTCTGTCTTCATCTCTAGATTACTTATAACAGCCAATGCAATGTAAATGCTATGCTATGTAAATGGTGTCACACCGCAGTGTTTCAGGAACTGTGGCAAAGGTCTGGACATGTTCAGTGTGGTTATAATTTTTTTGAAAAGATTTTGATCTGAGTTTGCTTGAATCTATGGCTTTAGAACTCAAAGATATGAAGGGCTGGCTGTAACTGGGGGCAGGGTTGAGGAGGAGATGAAGAGATGGGAACTTGAGAGAGCAGGTTGGGTAGGCTGGGTGCAGGAGGCAGTTTGGGGGTGGGACAGAGGGCTAGGAAGAAACCTGCTGCCAGGGAAACTCTCAGGAATCCACAAGGATGACCCCAGCTAAGACCCCTAGCAATAGTGGAGAGGGTGCCTGAATTGGCCTTCTCCTGTAATCAGATTGGTGACTACCCTAACTGTCATCAGAGTGCCTTCATCCAGTCACTGATGGAAGCAGATGCAGAGATCCACAGCCAAGCACTGGGCCGAGCTCTGGGAGTCCTCCTGAAGAAAGGGAGGAGGGATTGTATGAGCCAGGGAGTCAAGGTCATGCTGGAGGAACCCACAGACAGAGACAGCTGACCTGAGCTCATGGGAACACATGGACTCCGGACCAACAGTTAAGGACCCACCTAGGTCATCTGTATGTGTGTGATAGTTGTGTAGCTTGGTGTGTTTGTAAGGCCCCTAGCAGTGAGATCAGGACCTGTCCCTGGCATTTAGCTGGCTTTTGGAAATTTGTTTCCCATGCTAGTACACTGCCCAACCTTTATAAAGGTGAGGAGCTTGGTCCTACCTCAACTTGATGTGCCATGCCTTGTTCAAGCCCATGGGAGGCCTGCCCCTTTCTCAGTGGAGATGGAGGAGGAGTAGGTGGATGGGGAAGCGGGTGGATGGGAGGCAGGGGGAGGAAACGGCAGGAGAAGGTGGGGGAGACTGTGACCATTATGTAAAATAAAGAAAAAAACATTAATAGAAAAAAGGAATTAGGTATTACTCCTGTCTCTCAGGAGTAATGCAAACTATTCAAAACCAGAAGGGACAGGAAAGTTCCATTTAAGAAAGAACTCCCAAATATTTGGATCAATCTATAAATGGAATGCATTATCTGGTGAATTAATGAGCAGCTGAATCAAGTGATCTCAAAAGTCCTTCAAATCTAAGAATTAATGATTGATGTACTTTGAAACCTATTAATGGATGTAAAAAAAAAAACAGTAGTAATCTGGTATAAATAGCTTTTCAGTATTTTTCAAACAAATTTACATGTTATTTATTCAGACTACATAATATTCAGACTACATAATTGTTCTTAGTATCTTTTGTATGTCATATTGAATATGACTTTCTCATGTAAAGCAGAAGACATTTTCTTTATCATTAAGAATTTTTATAATTTTTTTATAGGCCATATGGCATAGATTCTCTAGCTTCCTATTTTGAGACACACTGTCTCCAGTGTTCCTTTTTTTTTTTTTAATTTTCTTCCTTTTTTTTTTTTTTACATTTTGTGTGTGTGTGTGTGTGTGTGTGTGTGTGTGTGTGTGTGTGTGTGTGTGTTTGGATGCATGTGGAATTCACAGGACAACTTGCAAGAGTTGGTTTTATTCTCCCATCTGTGGATCCTAGGAATGGAACTCAGGATATCAGGGTTGGTGGTAAGCACCTTTTCCCACTGAGCCATGTTACTGGCCCTGCCTCCACTGTTTTAATAACTACAAATAATCCTGCTGTAAATCTTCATACTGTAACGTCAACAAAAATGACCTCATTATCCAGAAGAACAGACTGATGAAACTATCAAACAAAACAAAATAAAGCAAATAAGAAAACTAACTTGCTCTTTTGGGGGTTTTTTGTTGTTTGTTTGGCTTTGTTTTTGAGACGGAGTCTCACTCTGTAGTCCAGCCTGGCCTGGAATTCACTATGTAGTCCAGGCTAGCCTTGAGCCTATAGCAATCACTAGTCTTTCAAGTAAATGCTCAGGTTACAAGCATGAGCCACCACACATGGTTTAAATTTATTCCTAACATTTTAAAAGCATCTATTTTCCTTAGTTTGGAAACATTTTGAGGCAGAAGTTCTGGTTTTTAAATGTCTATGCAGCAATGAACCCAACATTTTATGTGTTAGGTTGGGTATTTTTTCCATTATAAAATTACACCCCTTTGTATTAAAAAATGTCTCAGTGTACAAGTAAAAAATATAAAACATTTAATTAAATATGTGAAGCAGATCACAAGCATAGTAGTGTAAGCAATGCTAGTAACAATATAAAATATAGCAGTGAC